GTCTATTTCTTCTTTCAGTTCTGTCAGTTTTTGCTGCACTTATTTTGAAACTCTCTTATTTAGTGTGTACACTAAATAGGATTGTTATGTCTTCTTGAGAGTTTAGGATTGTTATGTCTTCTTGAGAGTTGACAACTCTATCATTATGAAGTGTCCCTCTTTGTCTTGAAGCCTGTTCTGCCTGTTATTAATATAGCCACTCTAGCTTGTATATTTTCACATTTTTTTAGTTTTAAATCATCTTGTAAAGTGTGTTTAAAGTGGGTTTCTTATAAACAGCATACGGTTGGGTCTTGCTTTTCTAATCTAGTTTGATAGTCTCAGCCATTTAACTGGAATTTTAAATCATTTACATTTAATGTAATTATTTATATGGTTGGATTCAAACTTATTATCTTGCTATTTATTTTCTGTTTTTCACATTTGTTCTTTGTTCCTTTCTTTTCCTACTTTTTTTTATTAATTCAGTTTACTTTAGGATTCCATTTTATTTCCATTGTTAGCTTTTTAGCTTTGTCTCTTTATTATTTTAGTTATTGCTCTAGAGTTTATAATACATCTTTAATATGCCACAGTCTACCTTCAAATGATGTTATACTACCTCACATATAAGAATATTTCAAAAATATACTTTCATTTTCCCCTCTCTTTTTTTTATAAATTTATTTATTTGTTTTTGGCTGCATTGGGTCTTCGTTGCTGTGCATGGGCTTTCTCTAGTTGTGGTGAGCAGGGGCTACTCTTCGTTGTGGTGTGCGGGCATCTCATTGCATTGGCTTCTTTTGTTGCGGAGCACAGTAGTTGTGGCACATGGGCTCAGTAGTTGTGGCTTGCAGGCTCCAGAGCGCAGGCTCAGTAGTTGTGGCATATGGGCCCAGTTGCTCTGTGGCATGTGGTATCTTCCCAGACCAGGGCTCGAACCCATGTCCCCTGCATTGGCAGGTGGATTCTTAACCACTGCACCACCAGGGAAGCCCCCTCCATTTCCCCTCTCTTATCCTTGGTTTGTTTTATCATATTTTTACTTCTACATATATTATAAGCACAGTACATTTTTGTTATTTTTGCTTTAAATAATCAGCTGTCTTTCAAAGATAACATGAGAACCTTTTTATATACCTGCATAATTTTTATTTTCAGAGTCCTCTATTCTTTTTGTAGATTCAGATTTCCATCTGGTATCATTTGCCTTCTGTTTGAAGGGCTTCCTTTAATATTTCTTATAGTAAATATATGGTGGCAACAAATTCTCTCAGGTTTTCATGAAAAAGTCTTTATTTCACATTTATTTTTGAAAGTTTTTTTTTTTTCTTTCCCTCATGGCTTATAGAATTCTACGTCAGCAGTTTCTTTTAGCTCTTTTGAGACCTTATTCATTTGTTCTCTGGCCTTTCCCTATTCAGCCTGTTCCCTAGTATAGTTTCTGATGAGAAGTTTGGGGGAAATTCTTATCTGTTTTCCTCTGTATATAATTTTTTTTTTTTTTTTTTTTTTTTTTGCGGTACGCGGGCCTCTCACTGTTGTGGCCTCTCCCGTTGCGGAGCACAGGCTCCGGACGCGCAGGCTAAGCGGCCACGGCTCACGGGCCCAGCCGCTCCGCGGCATGTGGGATCTTCCCGGACCGGGGCACGAACCCGCATCCCCCCTGCATCGGCAGGCGGACTCTCAACCACTGCGCCACCAGGGAAGCCCCTCTGTATATAATTTGCCTATTTTCTCTGGCTGCTTTTAAGAGTTTTCTCTTAATCACTGATTTTCACCTATTTGATATGACATATTTAGACATGGTTTTCTTTGTGTTCATCCTGCTTTGTGTTTATTGAATTTCTTGGTGCTATATAGTTTTCATCAAATTTGGAAAATTTTTGGCTATTTTTCAAATATTATTTTTCCCCTTTCCCCCTCATTTTTGAGATTCAGTTATATATGTTAGACTGTGATATTGTCCCACAGGTCATTGAGACTTTGTTCATTTATTTTTTCCCAGCCTTTTACTCTGTCTTCAGGTTTCACTGATCTTTTTTTCCTACATTGTCTAATCTGGTAATTATATCCTCTGAGTTTTTTATTTGAGATATTTTTGTCTCTAGAGTGTTCATTTGATTTTTTTTAATATTCCATTTTCTTTTATTATGTTTGTGCTTTCCTCTAAATACTTGTTTTGCGGGAGAAGAGAGAAGCTAGAGAATAGTCATGTCTCAGGTCTCTGGCGAGTCCCAGGACAGGCTGCCAAGTGAGGGTCCTTGGCTTCCTGTATGGAAAGAATTCAAGAGCCAGCCAAAGTAAAGTGAAAGCAGGTTTATTTAGAGAGATAAACATTAAAATTGGCAGAATGCAGACTGTCTCAGAAAGTGAGAGCAGCCCTGGGATGTGAAGTTGTTAATTTTTATGGGCTGGGTAATTTCTTATGCTAATGAGTGGGAGAGTTATTTCAACTATTTGGGGAAAGGGGCAGGGATTTCCAGGAACTAGGCCACCACTCACTTTTTGGCCTTTTATGGTCAGCCTCAGAACTGTCATGGCACCTGTGGGTGTGTCATTTAGCATTCTAATGTATTACAATGAGCATATAATGAGGCTCAAGGTCTATGGGAAGTCAGATCTTCTGCCATCTTGGGCCTAACCAGTTTTTGTCATATCTTCAATGGCTGTGTCATTCTTTTTCTTTTTTTTTTTTTTGCGGTTAACGTGGGCCTCTCTCTGTTGTGGCCTCTCCCCTTGCGGAGCACGGGCTCTGGACACGCAGGCTCAGCGGCCATGGCTCACGGGCCTAGCCGCTCCGCGGCATGTGGGACCTTCCCGGACCGGGGCACGAACCCGTGTCCCCTGCATCAGCAGGCGGACTCTCAACCACTGCGCCACCAGGGAAGCCCTGGCTGTGTCATTCTTTTAACTGTTGTCCCCTGACCTCTTCCTTCCTGTCTCACTTGGACATATGATAGTTTTTATATCTTTGCTGCTAATTCTATAAGCTCATTTTGGAGTCTGTTTCTATTGACTGATTTTGGTCTTGGTTATGATCACATTTTCTTGCTTCTTGGCATGTCTGATAATTATTGATTGCATACTGAACATTGTGAATGTTATATTGCTTAGTATCTGAAATTATTTTTGTCTCCATTTCATGAGTATTGGGTTTCATTCTGGTAAGCAGTTAAGTAATCTATGATTAGTTTGATCATTTGAGGCTAGCTTTTCAGTTTGTTAGGGCAGGTTTAGGATACTTTAAGAATGGTTTATTCTGTACCAAGGCATAGTCCTTCTGGGTTTTCTACTGAATGCCTTTAGTGATCAATGAGGTCTCTCCACTCTAGCTTGAAAAATTAAAAGATTTGCAGCCCTGTATGAACTCTGTAACTATTCAGCTCACAGCTCGCTAGTTGTTCCTTGCCTGACCTTCTTACTGAACTCAGGTTCGGCTGCTTGCTGCTTGAAAGCCAATACTTGAGAGGCAAGTGCTGGTAAGAATGGAAAGGTGCTTTATTCAGGAGGCCAGCAACTTGAGGAGATGGCAGACTGGTGTCCAAAAACCCAACTCCAAAGATTCTGCTTGATCATGAAAGTTTTTAAAGGGAGAATCATTTGGGGAGGGGATCAGTCCAGTTTATCTGCCACTGTGTGCAGATTTTCTTCTGCTTGGTTGGTGGTGAGGTAACAGGGTGGTGTTCCAGGAATCTCATGTTCAACCTGAAGTTATAATCCTCTATCTGGGGTGGGGGGGGTGCCTTATTTCCTGTAGAAGAACTCAAAGGTATTGTTATGTATATTCTTTGAGGACCAGGACCCTGCCCTGAGGCTGCATTATTGTTTCTTTACTCCTCCTCTTTTGTTTCTGCATTCCCTCCATTCCCTGATAAGCAGTTGTTTGATTTTGCCCTTTGGAACTCAGGGAAGGTCAAGGTGGCTGAATGAAGCCTATTTCCTACAAACAAGAAATGGGGGGGACACAGAAAGTATTTGTACCTGAGAGGGCCCCATAGGGTACTGCTCCGTTTCAACCTGGTGAAGTTGCACACTATGTATGTGCATCTTAGTATTCAACAAAGCATCAGGGGGACCCCTGCAAATTTCTGGAGCTCTTTTTCAGCACTGTTCCCTTTTCTTTTTTTGCCTTAAAAATTTTTTTTTCTCTTCTTCCCCCTTCTCTTTGAAATTCTATCTCAGAAGTCCCAGTCTTCTCAGCATCATTGAATTCCAATTTCTTTCCTCAACTCCTTAATTCAGTTAGACTATGCTTGGGATTCTTTGTCTGCTCCATGGTTTGCAGTGTGCCTCTAGGCAGAAAGCTGGGGCAACTCTAGAATTCACCTTGTTTGCTTTCTCACTGGGATCACATGGCCTGTGCTGCCTGTTCAATATCTGAAAACATTTGTTTCATATATTTTGTCCAGTTTCCAGTTGTTGAGGAGGGAGGGTAAATATAGTGTTTGTTCCTCCATCATCACCATAAATGTGTAAAATCTGAAAAACATTTTATTAACTATTGCTTGTTCATGTGTTATTGTCCTTTAGCTTTTTGTTTAGAAAATATTCTTAAGTGACTTCATAGTTCAACAGTGATTATTTTAATAGTGGACAAAACTTCTTTGAAATACAAATTTATTGCTTAGTATAACATTAGAGCCTTTCAGGTTTTTTATAGTTTTTTTTTTTTACTGTGAAGATTCAGACCCTCTATACCACTTTAAGTCTTAAAGGGTCTTATAATATGGACCATGTTATATAGTTGAGCAACATTCATGTTAGTGTCATTGTGAATATGTCTTTTCTCTTATTGGTCTGTGACAATTGAGTTTGAAGCACAGTTGAGTTCCTAGACTTAAATTTGCATTCAGGTATATTGGGTTCTCTGAAGGCAAAACTAACATATAGCTTTTGTTTCTATAGGATTGTTTTGCTCATTGTTTGGGGTATATTAAGCTTTCAGACTAAATAATGAATAAATACTTAAAGAAGTAAAAACAAATGATCTGTGCTCTCCTATCCCCCTATGTTTCTAGGTAACTATAACTACCCAGAGTTGCAGCCATGGAGTCCATGCTTAATAAGTTGAAGAGTACTGTTACAAAAGTAACAGCTGATGTCACTAGTGCTGTGATGGGAAATCCTGTCACTAGAGAATTCGATGTTGGTCGACACATTGCCAGTGGTGGCAGTGGGCTAGCTTGGAAGATTTTTAATGGCACTAAAAAGTCAACAAAGCAGGTAAGTTTTAGTTTAGAGTCCAGTTGGAAGGAACACACATGCTAATAAGTACCATAATGTGCATGTATGCATTTTTATGTTACGAAATGCTAAAAGTAATGGGTTCTTTAGTTGTCATTTCATCTAATGAAGTCATAGAAAAACAAATGCTTTTAAACATGCCCTTGAATCTCCTGGTTACAAATACATTGTTTGATATATCATCTCATCTTGTATTTTAATTTTGTTTACTTAATAACAAACATATCAGTTGCACAAATGGGTGTATTAGATTTTAATATTTAGCAAAGTGGTTTTTATTATTTTTTTTAACATCTTTATTGGAGTATAATTGCTTTACAACTGTGTGTTAATTTCTGCTTTATAACCAAGTGAATCAGCTATACATATACATATATCCCCATATCTCCTCCCTCTTTTAGCAAAGTGGTTTAGAATAAAAATTGCCATGTTCCTTTTTATCTTTATCAATGCATTACAACAAAATACTCAGTTAAATTTTTCTAACATTCTTTTTTTAAGCATCCTTATTCCCTCTTTTATTCTATAGCCTTATAGAAAATAGGCTTCTATAATATTTTTTCATATTTATTAACACTATAGTTTTTACCATCAGGGGATACATTTGTGACATATAATCAGTAGTATGTTTGGGGGTATATTGATTTAAAAATTATTTTAAAACTGTTCTTTTAGTGAAGAGTAGTTTGAATGAGTTGTATTGTTATTTTTATTTGACTTAAGAGACCAACAGACTGTTCTTAGAAATGTGGAGGATTGTTAGTGTTAAATTTTACTAAAAACTTTCTGTCGGAATTGTTAAAGAATTGAAAAATCACCAGGTTTAAAATGTTTGTAGAATATGTTCTTTAAAAAGAAGAATCAAAAAAGGAAAAACAGGGCTTCCCTGGTGGCGCAGTGGTTGAGAGTCCGCCTGCCGACGTAGGGGACATGGGTTTGTGCTCCGGTCCGGGAAGATCCCACATGCTGTGGGGCGGCTGGGCCCGTGAGCCATGGCCGCTGGGCCTGTGCGTCTGGAGCCTGTGCTCTGCAACAGGAGAGGCCACAACAGTGAGGCCCGTGTACCGCTAAAAAAAAAAAAGAAAGAAAGAAAAATCACTTTCCAAAAGTACTTTTACTTCCCTATATTTGAAACATATCAAATTTAAGACATGGGATTTAATACACATATTTTCCAATGACTATCAAAATTGTACAATTGTGGGTATGCATTGTGACTTTTCCAAAACCAGCTTATTTCCCAAACAAGTATGTTAAAGACGGAATTGGCTTTGGTTATCCTTTTATGAAGGAAGAATCTTGGTTCTGTGATAGATTGCTGGTATGTGGTTTGTACCCGACCTGTAAATCTTGTTTTTATTGCCATTTGGTTAGAAGTCTTTAAGTCCAAAGTTGATCTTTATCTTAAATATTGATTGGTCATTTTTTTTGGTTTCTTGAGTATTGACTACTTAATAAGTTATGAATGAGGTCATGAAGTTATATAAATGACCAACCTCCAACACTAGCACAGATTGCTTTTATAATCAATTATAGAAAGGGAAAATGAAATAACACCAAATTTACTAAATTTTGCATTGTTTATTAAGGACATGATAACATAATAGTGTCTTTGTCCTTAACCAAAAGAGTTCTGGGTGTTTGTGTTTATATCATTAGTTCATACGCTGAAATCCTCTAATGTTGGAGCTTCTGTTGTTGCTAATAGAACATGAGAACCAGGCACAAATAATAGATAGTTGATTAGATATTACACATTAATACAACATTTCTCAACTGCTGACTTCCGGAACTGAGATCTCTTATGAAACTTTAACTGTATTCCTTTTTTTCCCCAAATTTATTGCTTTGAGGAAAAAGGTAGTTTTAGAATATATCATTGCTCTCTGTGGATTTTGAATTTTCTTTTGCCTCCTTCAAACCTCAGAGGGTCAGAACTCGGAGTATCCTGTCTGGACTGCTGGCTAATTCCTTAAGGAATAGCTAAGTCTCTTGGCACTGAAGCCTCATTTGAATTTCTCCCTTAATTGAAAAGTTTTAGTTCTTTTTTCAATGGCCTCATTTTTATTAAAAGGGAATCAGAGAAAATAGATAATCTGGAGCTGTACTTAATACAATATGGTAGCCATAAGCTATATATGGCTTTTTCAATTAATTAAAATTTAATAAGATTAAATTCAGTTTCTTTATTGGACTAGTCACATTTCAAATGCTCCATAGCCACATGTGGCTCATATTACCGTATTGGACAGTGCAGGTAAAGAACTTTCTATCATCACTGAAAGTTCTGTTGGGCAGTGCTGATTTTAGGGAAACTGGGAGAAAAATAATGGAAAGGGATACTCTGCTAGTCCCTTTCTTCCCCCTTAAAGGGACATTGAGACTGAAGGCATCTTTCTTACCCTCTCAGCTTTATTTGATTTAGCATACAGTGTACTTGATTGTAGTTGTGTTTTATAGTAGAATATATGATCTTAAATTTGACTTTGAGGTAAACATTGGGTAAGAGGCTTTGGGCTAGGAGATTTTCATACCTGTTTTTTTTTAATAAATTTATTTATTTATTTGTTTTTGTCTGTGTTGGGTGTTCGTTGCTGTGCGCCGGCTTTCTCTAGTTGCCGCGACTGGGGCTACTCTTCATTGCGGTGTGTGGGCTTCTCATTGTGGTGGCTTCTCTTGTTGCAGAGCACGGGCTCTAGGCGCATGGGTTTCAGTAGTTGGGGAGCGCGGGCTTAGTTGCGGCATGTGGGATCTTCCTCGACCAGAGCTCGAACCCGTGTCCCCTGCATTGGCAGGCGGATTCTTAACCACTGTGCCACCAGGGAAGCTCTCATACCTGGTTTTAATAGTTAAAAATATGAAGGTGTTTTCTGTTGTTACATGGCAGTGAAATAAATACCATGATATTTAAACCATTGCATTTAAAGTTTAAATCTTGTTCTTTTCCCCCATTTCACTTTTTTACATGATCTTCAAAAAAAGTATCGTAATTTCACATTGTCCAGAAAAAACCCAACAACAACAACAACAAACAACAGTATTTCCAAGTTAAAAGACTCCTTATATTAGTATTTTTAGGGTTTGCATACCCCTTTAAAGATTATCTGTGTATTTTTTCCTAGGGTTATTTCAAGTTCACATTAGTACATGATTAATTATAATTTTCAGATCATGTAGAACTTTTAACTTTTTAAAATTTATTTTTATTTAGTTTTGGCTGTATTGGGTCTTGGTTGCTGCACACGGACTTTCTCTAGTTGCGGTGAGCTGGGGCTACTCTTCTTTGTGGTGTGCAGACTTCTCATTGTGGTGGCTTCTCTTGTTGCGGAGCACAGGCTCTAGGTGCATGGGCTTTGGTAGTGTGGCGCGTGGGCTCAGTAGTTGTGGCTCCCGAGCTCTAGAGCGCAGGCTCAGTAGTTGTGGCACATGGGCTTAGTTGCTCCGCGTCATGTGGGATCTTCCCGGACCAGGGCTCAAACCTGTGTCCCCTGCATTGGCAGGCAGATTCTTAACTACTACGCCACCAGGGAAGTCCCAACTTTTAACTTTTTAACCTAAATGTTTGAACCCCTCTTAGAAGAGTAGTAATAATAGCACCTATGAAACTGATGAGAAAAAGTACATATTTATGAAACCTGGAATGCAGCACGATAAAGAATTGGTAAATGAAAAGTTACTTGTGCCTGGTTACTTGTGCCTTCATTGTACCTGATTGGACATCTGTATTATTATTCTGTCTTTATGCTTCCAAAAATAAATTTCTGTTGCTTTTTATTATTTTTGAAAGACATTCATTGAAGAAACACCTCATAGTGAATAATTTATGAAAGTGAAATTAAGAATTCTAAGAATCTTCAAGACAAGTGTATAGTTGATTTTTTGCAGTAAAATAAATTTCTTAGGCCAGTTTTGTATATAAAATGAGCCATTAAGATTTTTAAAAGTTATTATTTAGATAAACTTAACCAAATACAACATGTAAACCTGTTGAAATGGATAGATCTCTAAATACAGCTTATTAGCACTGGAAGCTACTATTTAGGCTCAAGTGCTATTTAGTTTCCTTTTTGAGTGTTTATTTAGAAGCAGCTCTTAGTTCTTAACCATTACTCTTTCTAGAATATCTTTCTAGAGATGCTATAAAACATTTCAAGGTGACATTTAGGGAATTTAAGTTGTCTAACTTTTAAAATATAAATTTATTTTTAAGAGCTCACATACGGAATAGTGCACAAATCATGAGTGAGCAGCTTTTTGAATGTTCACAGTGAACACACCTGTGTAACCAGCATCCATATCAAGAAAACGTTGCTAATACTCATATCTCTTCACATTTATTACCTCCCCCCACCCCAACCCCGCCCCTTCTCTCCAGGGGTAACTGCTCTCCTGTCCTTTGACACTTAGGAATAATCTTGCCAGTTTTTGAATTTTGTTTAGGTGGAACCATGGCATGTACTTTTGTGTTTGGCTCCCTTTTCTTAAATTTATTTTCATGAAATACATCTATGTAGTTGAACATAGCAATTTTTCTTTTCATTGATATATAGAGTACTGCTGTGAACATTGTTGTGTGCTGTTGGCATATATGACATGTTACCTAGATATGGAATTGCTAGGTAATAGTGTATGTATCTGTTCAGTGCCAAAAAGCTTTCCAGAGTGTTTGTGCCAATGTACACATCCACCAGCAGTTATAGATCTCCACATCTCTGCCCAAATCTTTCCATAGTTAGTCTTTTGAACTAAAAAGGGCTATTTAATTTTTGAAAATTCAGTGAAATATTTCCTGCTCCCCTACCTCTTGAACTTTTGTAATGTCTAGTAGATAGTTGCTGGGCTTAGAGTTTATGCTGTTGTATTTCTCTTATAGCTTTGAAACTGACTTAGTCTTTCTACAGAGTAGCATATTTAGGACTAAAATGGTTTTATAAACATAGACACTCTTTTCAAACATATCCTTATTTCCTTTTTAAAGAATATTTAAGAGAGATTTCTGAGACAGATGCCCTGCACTGGATTTCATTAGCTTTCCTAATTTTTAATTAGACTTTATTTAAACAAGTCATTAAAGGGAAATCTTTTTGGTCAAACTGTATATATAAGTGAGAAATGTTTGCTTCATATATATGTCCTTTAAAATTGAAATACCATCACCTTATCTGTTAGATAGGAATACTATAACTATAAAGGCTGCTAATATATTTAAATAATTTGTAATAAAAGCAGTATATAAATAGTTTCTGTCCCACCTGTATATATAACTTCTACTTCTTTTCAAGTAGAAGAATAGCTCAACATTTTGAAATCTCTTTCAACTCTCTTATGTCAAGCCAAGGGATTTATTTGGGGGGGGGAATGTTTTAAAAAATACGTGTGCGTGTGTGTATGTTTATATATAAAATTTTGCCTGGTTCTCAGGCTATTCATGCATTTATTTATTAAGCATTTCTGTTTATCTTGACACACAAGATTCTGTGTTGCCAGGTGACTACTCTTCAAATGGATTTAACATTTATTAGGAGTCTTCTAGTGTCCCACATTTATTACGATCTTTTTTGTCCAGCTTTGGAGTAGTTCTTTTTTAAAAAAATAAGGCAACTTCAGTCTTATTTTGCCTTAAAAGTCATACTTGTTGGCCTATTTCTTTTGCTCTGCTTCATAAGCTTTGTAACACCCCCAGTTAAATTGCTATTCATATGAGGATAATAAAGATTGATCGAGTTTTTAAAATTATGCAGTAAAAGTTTACCTATTCATATTTATCCACTCTGCTACATGTAGGCTTGGACACAGTCCCTTCCTTATTACAGAATTTACATTATGTTATTCTAGATGCCAGTGTCCATGGGGTAAAGCTTGCTAATATTGTGTAGACAGAGGCATAATTAAATTATTATAAATAAATTCTAAAATATTAACAGCTTTAATGTAAAGGAAACCATTGTGCAAAGGTGAATGTGCTAGTCAAGTTGCTTAGATCAAATATGATCATAGACTATCTCTAGTAATTTTAAGGAGTATATCTTGTTATCTCTCAGTCATCTCAACTTATTTTTAACTTAATATAAATAAAAACTTGTTTTATTGTTTTGAGAAAGGAACGTTGTCCCAAAATCACACACAAAAAAGAAGAACATGATGCTTGGAGTTACCACCAGCCAGTCCTGAAAGGCCCATAAAATAAAGGATTTCAGGGAATGTCTATGTTTCAAAAACCATCTCTGGTGGCTCTGAGGAATAGGTTAGTGGAGTTCATGATTGCTATTAGGGAATCCTAGACACATTGGTGTATACTAACTCAGATTTTATTATTTAAATTATCTTGTTTTCAGTGAGAGTTCAACTTTGTAGTTATAGTAAGCAAAGTAGCTTTTAAAAATTATAAATTAGGTCTATATCAAAAGACAGCCTCCATTATGACAAATATTAATTTTTAGAAAAGATAATTTATTTCATAGCCTTTTTTGTTTAAAGATAGGCTATTGAGAAAAAATACTTTTTATTTATGGGTAACTCTCTTTGCCAATGTTGTTGTTTTTTTTTTTTTTTTTTTTTTTTTTTGCGGTACACGGGCCTCTCACTGTTGTGGCCTCTCCCGTTGCGGAGCACAGGCTCCGGGCGCGCAGGCTCAGTGGCAGTGGTTCACAGGCCCAGCCGCTCCGCCGCATGTGGGACCTTTCCAGACCGGGGCACGAACCCATGTCCCCTGCATCGGCAGGCGGACTCTCAACCACTGCGCCACCAGGGAAGCCCTGCCAATGTATTTTAAAAAATATTAAGTGAATAAACAATAGAGTGCCAAATGTCGCTTACATTATTTTATATTTGGTATTATTTGTAATTTTGCAAAAAGAGCCTCACATAATTAGCGTTAACAGTTGTTGAATCTTAAGTGGAAGATATATTGGATGATTGCACTACCTCATTTTTTTTATGTATTTGAAAATTTTCATAATGAAAAGTTGAAAACGGTTTTAATTCAACATGATAATGAAATGCTTCAAGTAGTTGCTTATCTTTACTGACCATCAGTAGGCAATGAACATCTGAGTATCTTTTAGGTGAAGATCCTGTGGTGCGTACAGAGACACTTATGGCATGGTTTCTTTTTCAAGAAGCTTGTAATATACATATAGGTATAGACGGATAGGATTTTTATATGTGATATGTGTTAGCAGAGGGGGTAGTATAGTGAAGTAGTAGAGGAAAGACAAATTTAGAAATTAGATGATAGTCTATTCTGTTGAAAGGTTTTAAGTTGCAGGCTAAGAGTTTTCTTTTAAGGAGTCAGTATGAGGCCTAAAGGTTAGTTAATTAGTCATTACTTTGTTGACATTGGTTAATTTTAATTAACTGATCCGAACAAAGAAATTGTTTTTTTGCGTACGCGGGCCTCTCACTGCTGTGGTCTCTCCCGTTGCGGAGCACAGGCTCCGGACGCGCAGGCTCAGCGGCCATGGCTCACGGGCCCAGCCGCTCTGCAGCATGTGGGATCTTCCCGGACCGGGGCACGAACCCTCGTCCCCTGCATCGGCAGGCGGACTCTTAACCACTGCGCCACCAGGGAAGCCCCGAACAAAGAAAATATTTTTAAGATAGTTGATAACCTGTTCTGATCTATGTAGGAATCTTTCATTTTTGACCTAAAAAAATAAATGAATGTCAGAGAGAGTTGTGTTTTTCTTTTTCTTTATGAACTGTAGTGTTCTGCCTTTAGAGTGGTGAATCTGAAGGAGCTCAGAAGTTACTTCATGTAATCTTTTTTTAAAGACTTAAAACATCTTGAAAAAATAAACATTTAAATTAGATGCATTTATAAAATATGTTGGAACACTTACTAAAATAAAATTGTACACATGAATAATGAGATGGGAACTTGAACTTGTAGGTCATTTGTTTTTAGTTCAAATTAATATTACATAATGCTCTTAGCTCCTGTTTGTTCTGTGTCTCAAAATGATCAAAAGAGCTAATATTTTGTGTTTGTGTGTGTGTATGTGTATATGTATATGCCAGGTTAACTTGTGAAGGCAATATATATATGAGTGCTATTTAAAGCTCTCACTCAAATAGTTTTACTGAAGGCATATATCATGTTTTACTAGGGTCTTATTTATTGGCCCTGTTATTTCTGGGGAGACAGAATGGTGTATTGGCTAAGAAAGTGACCCCTAGAGCTGGACTGACTGGGTTTGAATCTTGATTCTTCATCTTACCAATTGTGAGATCTTAGATAATATGTTTATCTTTTCCACAGTGTCCTCATCTGTGAAGTGAGGATAATAACTTGTCTCATGGGTTGCTGTGGAGTGGAATAATTCCTAAAAAGTACACAGATGCTTGGGGAATAGGGTGTTCAATTTGAGTTACTAAAATAGTCCCTTTATGTTATAACTTTTCAGAGCCTCAATCCTCTAAAATCCTTAACTCATCTATATATGTATAAGGAAGCTCCAACTTAAAACAAGTTGTGTTTTGAGGAATGTACTGATTTGGATTTCTGCAGTGAATCTCCATTATGTAAATAGGTTGCCAGGCTAACTTGTGAAGGCAATAATCATAATGTAGCAAAAATAATTAGAAGAGAACAGCAATAAAATGGAAAGATACTGTCTTGGTATCAACTCAAAGATAGTTGAGTAGTAGTAGGTTTAATTAAAAGCATTTGAAAGAGACACAGAGCTCTGAAAGAGTCATTCAATATCTTCCATAGAATTTTGGAGGCCTAGCATTGATTCTTTGCTAATTTACTTCCAACTTTATCAGTTTTCTTTGCATTTATGATGGAGAGCTAGCCGCATCACTGATGTATTACACAGTTGTAATATATCATCTATCAATATGGCTATTTTTTGACTGATTTGTTAAGATTAGGTAACTGGATGGGAACTGTTTTCTTTGTGCAACTGAGAGAGAATGAAAGAGAGAAGGTGGTTAAGGAGATTGTGTGCTTTTAGTAGTATAAAATAAGCTGTGACTGATCTCAGAGAGATGATAGGGGAGCAGTTTCCCCGTGCTGGTAACCATTCCTAGTTACTGCCCTTAACAAGAGGAGAGAGAGAAAGAGTATGGGTTATTCATATGTAAAAGATGCTTACAAATTGAGTTTTTGTATAAATAAGCACTCCCTGACATATAAGACGTTTCTTTTAACAAGCATTTCAAGATTCTGTAGTATAATCCAGGTTTATCACTATGAAAAGCATTTTGAATATTTTAACATTTTAACTTTTATTTGAATTCCAGTAAAATAAGAGATTACTACATAGGAGACAACACATTACACACAGTTTGTGTGTATCTCTGATACCAGAGTTCAAAGATGGAGATTTTCCTATGTTCTCCTTAGATGAGGGTTCTTAGTCTTATAACTCTAAAAATATTTAAATTTAGTAGTTATGAAGAAACCAACTTTTTAATATCAGAAAAGTATTACAGTGGTGCTAAAATGCACCATTTTAAGTTATTTCTCTTTGTAGACTGTTGTGACACTCAAATAAAATTTTATTGCTTTTATATATTCTTGATTAATTAGTTACACATTTCTTTCATTAGGAAGTAGCTGTTTTTGTCTTTGATAAAAAGCTGATTGACAAATATCAAAAATTTGAAAAGGATCAAATCATCGATTCTCTAAAACGAGGAGTCCAACAGTTAACTCGACTACGACACCCTCGACTTCTTACTGTCCAGCATCCTTTAGAAGAATCCAGGTAAATTTTTATGAAAACTTACATAAGAGACTTCCTAAACAAATAGTTTTTTTAAAAAAACTTTATGTTTGAAATCTATCTATACAGTATGTCAGTGAAAAGTTCTTATCAACTGAGTGTTGAGTTCTTATGGATTAGTTACTTCTTTGAAATTTATTTGCATATTCTATGTATATGTCTCTTTTTGAAATATTAATAAAAGTTTTCTTCACATTTGCCATGAGTCTGTATTTGTTTACTCTATGTTCAAGACTACAGCAGTCCAAATGGAAGATGCAAGAGAAGTATAGAATACAGTCCCTGCCTGAAAGTAATTTTTCTTGTTAATTTGCTAGAATTCATTGCCCCCTTTTCATTGATTCAATATTCAGAGGCTATTTTTATGTGTATTCCAGGTAGTACTGTTCTCAACGTTTAACCTTTTACTATGTCCAGTATGTCAGTCTATAGTCCTCAGTTACTCTACTATCTCTTTTTCTCAAAGTGAGCTTGGGAACTGTTGCTGAGAATGACAAGAAAACAGAATTTATGTTGTGTAATCTTAACTGGATCCTCAAGCTTTGGTGCTTTTAATAACTCCTTTAGATACCCAGCTATATAAATCTTTTCCACATTACTCATAACCCCTAATTTATTCCTTCCTTCCTACTTAGCAGACTGTATTCCCCTCTCTTAAATCAGATCTTAACCAAATGGTTTGCCAATGCATTCTGTGGACCCTAGGATTTTAAGGATAGGGAAA